GGAACGTGTAGGGGATTACATGCTGTTATATGTGAACTGTTAGGAACGTGTAGGGGATTACATGCAGGTTGTATGTGAACTGTTAGGAATGTGTAGGGGATTACATGCTGTTGTATGTGAACTGTTAGGAACATCTGGGGATTACGTGCTGTTACATGTGAACTGTTAGGAACGTGTGGGGATTACATGCAGGTTGTAAAACTGGAGGGGTGAGCAGAAGGGATGCCTGTCCACAGAAAAACTGTGTGAGTTCTCACGGGGGTGTGCTTGTGGCCAGCATGGGCCAGTTTAGTTGAGAGTCAGTTTCACTGATTCTTGTTTCTCTTTGAACAGAATTTGTAGGCTGAGTGGGTGGTGGTGGTGGTGCAGCCTGGAGCTCAGCTCAGAATCACATGTGTTGTTGGATACTGACAGTTTGTTTTCCCATGCTGCTCTTTGCTGAAGTGCTGTTCCTTTGTAAGAAGTTGCGAGTTCCTTTGAAGTGTCACCTGTCACCAAAATGCATATCTGATGTGAATGCCTGTTGTTGAGGGGAAGGTGCTTGGTGTCCGGGTATGAGGAGGGTTGAGATAGAGTCCCACTCTATGGCATAGATGGCCTGAAACTCAATGCCAGCCCTCCTTGCTGGGCCTCCTCATGCTGGGATTATAAGTGTGAACCACCACACATAGCCTGTTGCACATTTGTTAAATGATGGAATTCAAAGTACTCTAAGGACTGGAGAGAGGTCTCAGCAGTTAAGAGCATTTACTGCTCTTGCACAGGACCTGGGTTCAATTCCAAGCACCCACACTGGACAGCTCACAACTTCCCATGTCTCACAATTCCAGGGAATCTGACATCCTGGGACCGCAGGAGCTCCAGGCTGCACATAAATCACTCAGGCACAAGCTTATATACAGAAGCTTAAAAAATAATAAATCTTTTTTGTTGTTGTTGTTTGGTATCTTAGTTTGGGTTTTACTGCTGCAAATAGACACCAGGACCAAGACAAGTCTTAAAGGACAACATTTAATTGGGGCTAGCTTACAGATTCAGAGGTTCAGTCCATTATCATCAAGGCAGGATCATGGCAGCATCCAGGTAGGCATGGTGCAGGCTGAGCTGAGAATTCTACATCTTCATGTGAAAGCTGCTAGCAGAATACTGACTTCCAGGCAGCTAGGATGAGAGTCTTAAAGCCCACACCCAGTGACACACCTACTCCAACAAGGCCACACTTCCTAATAGTGCCACTCCCTGGGCCAAGCACATACAAACCGTCACATTTGGTTTAGTTTTTCAATATGCAGGTTTTCTGGAACTCTCTCTGTAGACCAGGCTAGCCTCAAATTCACAGAGATCCGCTTGCCCTCAAGTGCTGGGATTAAAGGCATGCACCACCACTGCCTGTCATCCCTTTTGTTTTTCTTTTTTGGTTTTTCGAGACAGGGTTTCTCTGTGTAGCCTTGGCTGTCCTGGCACTCACTCTGTAGACCAGGCTGGCCTCGAACTCAGAAATCCGCCTGCCTCTGCCTGCCAAGTGCTGGGATTAAAGGCGTGCAGCACCACCACCTTGCGACCCTTTTGTTTTTCAAGGGTATTAATATATCTGTTTTTGTTGTGTAACTGCAGGTCAGTGTCTGTCTGGAAACTTCTATGTGAGAGGTGATGGCACCAGAGTTTACTTCTTCACACAAGGTATGAAAATGATGATCTTCTTAGTGCTAAAGGCAGTGTCTGCAGGTCAGGTAGACAGTCACCTGCCCTTTCTCAGTCACCTGGCCTCCTGCCTTTCTCCTCACACACTGCCCGTGAGCTACCCTGGGCTGTCACTTTCCCCAGACAGCTCTGGCTCATGCTTCTTGGTGTAATTGGTGTTTGATGACTCTGTAAGTTCTTAATATGAGCCGTCACCCCCACCCCAGTAATCATGACATAGTCCTGTCGATTATTTAATCAGCTTAGGCAATTCACAATTACTAGACAATTACCCCTAATCTGTTTTTCTTTAGATTTATTTATTTATTTCATGTATGTGAGTACACTGTAGCTGTCTTCAGACACACCAGAAGAGGGCATCAGATCCCATTACAGATGGTTGTGAGCTGCCATATGGGTGCTGGGAATTGAACTCAGGACCTCTGCAAGAGCAGTCAGTGCTCCTAACCACTGAGCCATCTCTCCAGCCCTAATCTGTTTTTCTGTATCCCAGCTACCCTCCCCAGGTTACTTGTTTTGAGCCTGGGCTGCCATTGTTCCATCAGCCTGTCCCCAGGATGCACCTCTGTCCTGCCATTGTTCCGTCAGCCTGTCCCCAGGATGCACCTCTGTCCTGCCATTGTTCCGTCAGCTTGTCCCCAGGATGCACCTCTGTCTGTGTGCTCATGATCCATCTCCTCTCATGGAGGTCTCCTCCTCTCTCTGTCCTTCGTTCCTCTTTCTCCTCTCTGATTTTCATTCATATTCTCTCCCTACCTCCTCCCCCCTGCACCCCCCCTCCCCCGTTCTTGTCCCTATCCCTGTCTCTGTTGCTGTCTCTCTGCCCCTCTACCTGCAACCACCCAGCCCAGTAGTTGAAGGCCTGCCTACCTCTGTTCTCCACCTTTATTTAACCAATAGCTTTACACTGGAGATCAGGGTTTATACAGCATTTGGTGTAAGTGAGAATGTGCTCATGAGTCTTGTAACCAGATCATGGGGTTCAGAGTTTAGCATTTGTATGCACAGCAGCAGCCCCAACCCCCCACCCCCAAACACATGCTGACTGAATGAGCTGCATTTCTCTCACTTCTGTGGCTTTGTCCAAAGTGGGAACTTGCCCTTTCTGCGAGTCTCAGCATAGTCTGATTTGCTCTCTGTAGCAGCCTGTGTTTCAAGTGCAGCTGTGTCCAGGGGAAGTGCGCCCTGGACCATCTCCGCTGTCGGCCCTGTTCACAGGCTTCACCCTCCAGCACTTTAGGACTATTGTTGGGCCCTTTATCAGGTCATATACTTTGAGACATTGGCTATGTAACATTGAAGGTTGTCCTGTAAGACGTTGTGTTGGCATACGCGTCTGTCAGTTTGTGCACATAGTTTTTGGTTTGGGAGTGGTTGCTTTGTTTGAAGCCAAGTCTCTCAGTGTAGCCCACACTAACTGTGAACTTGCAGTCCTCCTGCTTCCCCCTGCCAACTACTAGTATATATATGTAGGCTTCCCTTCACCCACTTTTTATGTTTTTATTTTGTTTTGGTTGGTTGGTTGGTTGGTTTTGATATTTTGGCATGTAAAATCCTATCCTTGGTTTTTTGAGGCAGGGTTTCGCTCTGTGTGGCCCTGTCTGTCCTAGAACTCAATTCTAGACCAGAGTGGCCTCAAACTCTGAAATCTGCCTGACTCTGTCTTTTGAGTGCTGCGATTAAAGGGGTGCACTGCCACCACCTGACTGTACAACATTTTTTTAAGATTTATTTTCTATTTTATGTGTTTGAATATTTGCCTGCATATATGTCTGTGTACCATGTGCATGCCTAGTGCCCTTAGAGACGAGAGGAGAATATTGGAGCTCCTGGAACTAGAGTTGTAGGTGGTTCTGAGCCACCTTGCTGGTGCTGGGAATTGAACTTGGGTCCTCTGGAAGAGCAGCCAGTGCTCTTAACTGCTGAACCCTCTCTTTCATTCCACATGAAACTCTGTAGACCTCAGGGCTTTAAAACCTGAACCCTCAGCACTGGGAAAGCAGAGACAAGGATCCCTGGGGCTTACTGACAAGCCATTCTAACCACTTAGTTCCAGGCCAGTGAGAGGCCCAAGAAGGCATCACCTTCTTAAAACTCCTCCCTCTTGTAGGCCTTCCTCAGAGACTTTGGTGCCCAAACTTGGACCTGTCATTGCCAAATTGTCACTACATTTTAAAAGGCCAAGGCTAATAAGGCCTCTTAAAAAGCACAGTGACTGTGCTGTCTCAAGGCTCCATTTAACATGGACAGTCACTAGAAAACTATCCTTTCTCCAGAGGAACATCTGTAAACATCTGTTCTTTTCAAACCAGATGAGCTGGATGCACTCTTCACTGCTGCGGGTCTGGAAAAGGTACAGAACCTGGTGGATCGCCGCTTGCAGGTGAATCGAGGGAAACAGCTGACCATGTACCGCGTCTGGATTCAGTGCAAATACAGCAAGCCTCTAGTACACAGTGCCAGCCAACATGGGCCCATTCCCCATACGACATAAGTTCTTCATATTCAGGGCTTTTGTAAGAAGACATCTGTAAATGGTGCCTTGATGGTTGTGGACAGTCTGGAGATTCACGTAGCTCAGACTTTGAGCCTAGGAACAATTATTTTCTGTTAACATTAACAATTGGTTTTTAGCTAGGTACGATGCCACATGCCTTTAATCCCAGCAGTCAGGAAGCAGAGGCAGACAGATCTCTGAGTATGGGGACTGCCAGTGCTACACAGAGAAACCCTGTCTCCAAAAACAAACGAAGTGTGGCTTTTATTTGTGAAGCCCATTAATCCGTATTTTGTGGAGTTCATTTTATTGTTAATATTACTGTCTAGTGGGGCAATGCTGTGGTGAATGTGGGGAGTTCAGAGGACACCTTTCAGGAGTCGGTTCTCTCCTACGTGGAATTCAGGCTTAGCAGCAAATACCTTGAGCTTTTGACAGCCCACAGATTTTTAATGACTAGAGTTTTGTATATAGGAAAACTCATTCTGTGACCAAAAATGACTTTGAAGTTTAGATCCTCCTACCATCATATTGCAAGGTGGTGGTGGCCACACCTTTAATTCTGGCCCTCAGAAGCCAGAGGCAGGTGGATCTCTGAGTTCAGGGCCAGCCTAGTCTACAGATTGAGTTCCAAGATAGCCAGAACTACAGAGAAACCCTGTCTTGAAGGGGAAAAAAAGAAAATTAAGAAAGGGGGGGGGAAAAGTATGCTAACACATTTGTTTGGGGAGTTAAGAATTTAAAACCTGGCCAAGTGTAATGGCTCACAGCAGGAGTCCCTGCAGTAGAAAGCTGAGGCATAAGGATCCCAGTAAGATCAAGGGCAGACTGTGCTACAATGTAAAAACGTCCTAGGGATTGTGAATCTGGCTCAGTGGCAGAGCATAAGCCCTAGAGCCAGATACATGGTATTAGATTAATCCTAGCATGTGGCCGTCTGAGATAGAACAGCCTTAAATTCAAGGCCAGCCCAGGCTACATAGTGAGAGCCTACCTCATGTTTCCATGAGAGCTGGTTCGGCTTAATCCTGTGGGCAGGGGTAGAAGCGATGTTGTGTTCCATCGCATGGTACTGGATCATGGGTACCTTTTAATACCTCCATTATTGGGACTAGAAAGAAGGTTCAGCAGGTTTAAGGACTTGCTGCCAAGGATGACAACCTGAATTCATGCCCCCAAGACCCACATGGTGGAAGGAGAGAACAGAACCATCATGTGCTATAGCATCTGTGTCCTCAGACATACACACCAAAATAAAATAATTTTTTATGTCTTTTTGGTGGTGTCGCTTAATCAAAATGGTGTTTGATAGGTTCCCAGGCTGTTACCTCTAGGACAGGAGAGCACCCTGCCTGGGCTGTCTGTCACCCTGTTGACCACCAGGGTTTATTGGTTTACTCTGGTCAGCTAAGCAGGTGTCCCCTTTCTCCTTCACCATCAAAGAGAACAGCCTTCCCTGAATCGAGGACTGGTCCTCTGCCGCCTCCTGAGACCTCTGGCAGGTTCCAGTTACCAAGTATTGTGTAGGAGAGTTCCTTGACACATCTGCCCACCCCATCACACATTTCCCATGGTATCAGTTTTTAGCTGAATCATTCCAATAGCTGCCAAATGTGTATGTGGTTTATATATTTGTACATGTATTGAGTGTAGATGTGCACACATACATGTGGAAGCCACAGGCTGACTTCATGCTACCTCCCATTTTTATTAGACAGTTTCTCTTTAAACCTGTAGCTTGCCATTTCAGCTAGACTCTGGCTGGCAAGCCCTGAAGGGCTTCCTGTCAGCACTAGGATTGCTGCAGGCTGTGCCGCTGAGCCTGCTTTCATGTGTATGCTGCATTGCAAGCTTCAGGCTTCAGTGCTGGTGTGGCGAGCACTTCTGAGTGGGTTGTCTTCTCCCCAACACTACAAACAGGTTTCTGATCTCCCCGTTCCTTTCACTCCTGTGTAAGAAACAGGGTTTTGTGTGTGTGTGTGTGCATTTTTTGTTTAGTTGGTTTGGTTTTGTCTTTTTGAGGCAAGGTCTCATGTATCCCAGGGTAGTATCAAATTCTCTACCTGAGGATAACCTTGAACATCTGATCCTCCTGCCTCTACTCCTTGCATGAGTGACAGGACTCCTACCAATCAAGCTATGTCCTTGGGAGAAAGCTATTGTATTTTCGGTGTGAATTATGTGTGTATTTATGTGTCTCTCCTTGTGTGGGTATATACACTACACAAGTACCTGTGGAAGCCATAGGCATTGGACTCCATTTGAAGCTAGAGTTAAGGTGGTTTGTTCAGCCACTCAGTACAAGCACTGAGGGCCTAACTCAGGTCCTCTGCAGGAACAGTATTTCCTCTTAATCACTGAGGCGTCTCTCCAGCCCCGGGCTTGGCCTTTTGTTTTAGTCAATTATTATGATCCATTGCTATTATTTGGGGGAGGGGGTTGTTTTAGAGAGGGATTTGAGTCAAGAACTTACTACTATAGCCCAGGCTAGCCTTGAACTCACAATATTTCTGTCTCAGTCTCCCGAGTGCTGAAATCAGATGTGCACCACCAGACTCAGCTACAACTAGGTTGTAGCATTCAGTGCAGAGTCAAATGTGAGATACCAGTAATCTGAGCACTGTACAGGCTGGTATATGAGTTCAAGGCCAGACTGAGAAATTTAGTCAGACCCTGTCTCAGTATAAAGAGAGCTGAAAATCAAGCCATAGTGGTGGCACACACCTTTAATCCTGGCAGAGTGGATCTCTGAGTTATAGTCATCCTGGTCTACAGAGTGAGTTCTAGGACACAGAGCAATTCTGTCTCAATATATAAATATATATTGAGACAGCAGAAATTATATATATATCTCGCTCAATGGTAGAAAACTTGCCTAACAGGTGAGAACCCAGGCTCAATCCCTAGAAAGAAATTAAAATGTTGAGAGGTTTCAGGAAGCCAGTTTGAAGCTTGGTGTGCTAGTATAAACCTGTAACTCCACTCAAAGTGCAGAGGAAGGGTAGTACACTGAGAACTAATTCAAAAGCTGCCTTTTGGCCACAGTCATGTCTTGATGCACAGGTGTGTGAGCATGCATGTTCCCACTCACTATTTTGCTTTGTGTTTTGTTTTGTTTTGTTTTGTTTTGTTTTTCCAGACAGGGTTTCTCCGTGTAGCCCTGGCTGTCCTGGCTCTCCTGGAACTCTCTTTATGACTAGAGGAGCCTTGAACTCACAGATTTGCCTGTTTCTGCCTCCCAAGTGCTGGGACTAAAGGAGTGTGCCACCACTCCCTGGTTATTTATAGGTAGGTAGGTAGGTAGATAGACAGGCAGACACACACACACACACTGAGGTGGCAGACAGCCAGTCAGCCTGTGACCTCCACACATGCATATGTCACACACCCACATGGGAAGAGAGGCTGACCCTCCTGATACACATCTGTTGGCTCCACCCCTTGTGTACTCTCTGTCATCACCCACTGCTGGATACTTTCTCCACCTCCTTTTGGTTCTGTCACAGTGCACTAACCCATTGCTGGTCATTCTCTCACTGTCCTTGCCTGTCATGGTCCCCATACCTGCCCCTTCTCCAGCTCCCTGCTAACGTCCCCTTTGCTTGGCTCCATTGCCTGCATTTTAAAATGTGGAGAGAAGGGAGCTCCTTTCTTCCTCCAGTGCTATTAAAACCAGAAAGAGCTGGGTCCCTGGAATCTGATCGAATGTCTGAAATGAATGGGTAGCTGTGTCAGCCACCGAAGACCATTCTGTGACTTCTTAAGCATTTCAGAGCAGAAGCCATTTCTGTTCCCACTCTGGCGCCTGACTTGGGCTTTGCACTTCTTTCCAGCCCTGACCCCTTTTATTCTATCCATCTGCAAAGCCCTCTGCCCTTTCATCTGCAGGGCCGTGTAGAGCTCTGGGAAGGTCTTTGCACAGTGTTTTAGCCTTAGAATCGCTCACAGTGAACAGAGGAGGATGGCATGCTCAGGCTAGACCATAGGGTCACCTCAGTGCCTAGCTCAGTTTCACTCTGAGTCCCATTGCTCATATTTTATTTTTTTTTCCCAGTGGCTAATTCTGGCCCTCGGGACTTGACACATGCTATGCCAAGTCAAGCAGCTCTACAGTTACAGTTAAACCAGACCCCCAGCCCCGGCTGAGTTACCTGAAAGTGGTCGGGTTGGGAATGTGACTCCAGTGTGGCGCTGTCCAGAAAGAGTTGCTTAGGTGTGTCTAAGAGAGACACACTTCAGGAGAAGACTTACCTTCCTACATTAAGTGCCAGCCATTCAGCTGGAGAGAGAAAGTCAATGTTCTTTGAAAACTGAAGGATAGTTTGATGTGAGGCAAGTCCAGCGAGCTTTTGGAGTGAAGCCAGCAGCCTTCCTGAAAGGCATGCCAGGTCAGAGTGTAACTCAGGTCTTCCCCAGAGGGTGGATTCTGTGGTGCAAAGGTGATTCATACTGAGCCTGACCTCTCTCCGGCTCTGTATGGGGTAGAGGGGTCTCCTGTCTTCCTTCTCTTGGACTCTTAACTAGAAAAGCAACAGAGCCCTGGAAATTTAACAAGCAAAAAGCTTAGTTCACTGAGACATGTTCCTATAATTGATTGCCCTGTCCTTGGAGACGTTAGCAACAGTAGGGGATTCTCTGTGGCGTCAAAGATGAGCACAGGACAGACAGTGTCTTTCATACTGTCTACAAAGGCCTGTTTCTGGTTTGTGGCTGCAGCTGCTACTTCCAGAGCCTGGCTACGTCGGGGCATTGCAGGTTTCTGCTTCTTCATTTCATCTACAGGCTGTGATTTGGCAGCCTTGATGGTGAGCTTCCCAAGTACAACGGTGATGTGACACTCTGCTGCCCCTGCAGTGAGCAGACAAAGTTCAGCACTCAGAGGAACATGTAGACAATGAAACATGACTGAGTTTAGGGACAGAAGGCCACATCTGGTTACTTGTTCCACAGGGGGTTTTTAAGACACAGGAGCCAGGGCATTCCCAGATCCATCCCCATTTCCTTTCCATGAGTTAGGATTTCACCATTAAAATAGAAAATCTCTGGTCACTTGGAGTGCCACACACCTTAATCCCAATGATCAAAGGCAGACAGACAGATCCCTACGAATTTGAGGCTAGCCTGGTCTACCCAGAGAGTTCCATTCCAGCCAGAGCTACACAGAAAGACTCAGAAAATTTAAAAAGATAAACGTGTGTGTGTGTGTGTGTGTGTGTGTGTGTGTGTGTGTGTGCATAGACAGACAGACAGACAGACAGACAGACAGACAGACATATCACATACAACTTCCGGGCCACTCATCAGGTCAGCAGGTAAAAGCTCTTGCCTTGCTGCCAAGCCTGCCACCCTGAGTACCTGAATTTAATCACCAGAACTGACATGGTGGCAGGAGAAACCTTAACGCCTAAAAGCCATCCTCTGACCTCATGTGTACAGTACAACACATGCATGCACATACACATTACCCCCAATAAATTACTGTAACTTAAAATATGTTCAGGCTGGAATAAACGGGTTTACCTTGCATGCATGAGATTTCATGTCCCACACTGCAAAATGAATGAATAAATTGTAGTTAACTTATTGTCTACGCAGCTTTGGAGAATGAGATTGGGGGTCCCTTGAGTTCAAGGATTAGCTTGGGCAATATAGTGGAAACTCCATCACGTACATACATGGATGGATGGATGTATATGTTTCTTCCAGGCATGGTGGACACACGCCTTTAAACATAGCACTTGGGAGGCAGAGGCAGGCAGATCTCTGTGAATTCAAGTCTAACCTGGTCTGTGTATATATAGTCAGTTTCAGGACAAGTAGGACTACATAGAGACCCTATCTCAAAAAGCCAAAATTGTGTGTGTGTGTGTGTGTGTGTGTGTGTGTGTGTGTGTGTGTGTGTTGTATTAAAGCACCCTTAAAGAAGCAGAAGCTGGGTGCAGTAGTGCATACCTATAATCCCAGCACCTGAGGCTGAGGCAGAAAAACTTGTTTAGAAGAAACCATGCTTTAAACCTTCCTCAGCAGTAGCAGGGTGGAAACCTACGCGCATGGAGAGAGCCCTGACAGTGAGTCAGCAAGTCTCCACACAGCCCTGCTCCCGTTACCTTCTGTTTATTCTCTGGCCAAGGCCTCTGGTCTCGATCTAGCTGATTCCATAGGGTAAATTCTTTCTAAACAGCAGAGCAGCAAAGCTCCTGGACCCAAGGTCACTGGGCAGCAAGCCGAGCTGAAGGCCATTCCCTCACAGGACATAGCCAGACAAAAGATCTGAG